GGGGGGTCTTGGGCAGCAAATTTGACATGGGCATGCCCTGTGCAATTTCAGGGACTGAGGAGAACAAGGAAGATGGCCGACAAGAAAATACTACCCGGAATAGGGACTCAGAGGACCAAGGGGTAAACGAGCAAAGCCACTGCGACTCCGAGGCTCCAAAAGCTGACTCAGCTGAAGACGAAGAAGGTTCAGCAACCCCCTCGGTGAGTAGACAAGTTATTCAAGGGAGGGACTCTTCTCGCTGGATGTCTCTCCAGAAGAACTGGTTGGTCACTGTGTGAGACACGGGGATAGACTAGGTGGAACACTGGTCTGATCCTGCAGGGCTCTTCTGATGTTCTTAACATCATGGATGGGGAACTCTGGTCTCCGAAGAGCAAGGCTGTGGGAAACTTCAGTCCTGGGCTCAAGAAGTTGGCTACCACTCTTTCTGCTGAAGCTTGGAATTGACAGACCGTACCATCTACAATCCATTGCATTTCCATGCTTTCCTGGTTATCCTTCAGTCTCAGGACCTGATGCCTGCTGATTTTAAACATGAAACACCTATAGAAATGATAATTGGGCACAGCCTTTGTGGAAAAGGCTTCTTTGTGGAAAAGGCTTCTTAAATCTCAATGAATGGAAGCCTGTTCCGGCCCCCTTTGCTTATCAAAATGAAATATTTCCTGTCCTGGAGCATGAGAAGCTACATCTAAGAGATGGCCTTTCTTCCTCAGGTTCTGAAACAAATTGCTCCAGGCACCTCCTCTGCCCTCAACAGCAGCCAGATTGAGGCAACTTCACACACCGACCCACAACCTCCAGTGAAGACAGAGGGTGGTAATCTATTCTTCTTTCAAATATTGTTCCCCCCTCGCTGCAGAAGTGCTGTGGCCTGAGGGGGGTCTTGGGCAGCAAATTTGACATGGGCATGCCCTGTGCAATTTCAGGGACTGAGGAGAACAAGGAAGATGGCCGACAAGAAAATACTACCCGGAATAGGGACTCAGAGGACCAAGGGGTAAACGAGCAAAGCCACTGCGACTCCGAGGCTCCAAAAGCTGACTCAGCTGAAGACGAAGAAGGTTCAGCAACCCCCTCGGTGAGTAGACAAGTTATTCAAGGGAGGGACTCTTCTCGCTGGATGTCTCTCCAGAAGAACTGGTTGGTCACTGTGTGAGACACGGGGATAGACTAGGTGGAACACTGGTCTGATCCTGCAGGGCTCTTCTGATGTTCTTAACATCATGGATGGGGAACTCTGGTCTCCGAAGAGCAAGGCTGTGGGAAACTTCAGTCCTGGGCTCAAGAAGTTGGCTACCACTCTTTCTGCTGAAGCTTGGAATTGACAGACCGTACCATCTACAATCCATTGCATTTCCATGCTTTCCTGGTTATCCTTCAGTCTCAGGACCTGATGCCTGCTGATTTTAAACATGAAACACCTATAGAAATGATAATTGGGCACAGCCTTTGTGGAAAAGGCTTCTTTGTGGAAAAGGCTTCTTAAATCTCAATGAATGGAAGCCTGTTCCGGCCCCCTTTGCTTATCAAAATGAAATATTTCCTGTCCTGGAGCATGAGAAGCTACATCTAAGAGATGGCCTTTCTTTCTCAGGTTCTGAAACAAATTGCTCCATGCACCTCCTCTGCCCTCAAAAGCAGCCAGATCGAGACGTCTTCACACACCGACCCACAACCTCCAGTGAAGACAGAGAGTGGTAATCTATTCTTCTTTCAAATATTGTTCCCCCCCTCGCTCCAAGGAATGAGCCAGTTTCACTATAGAGTTTTTGCCCAAATACCAGAGCGTCGACCAGATGTCGGTGGTATGATGTCATCACTTCCCATGCGACACTGGCAACAAGGCCTAGGCCTTTCTCTTTCTCCTCATAAATTCCCCTCATCCCCCGCTGGTTCCCAGCAGGGACCTGGCAACCCTAGCCTGCTGCCTCCTGCCTGCCATCAGCTGGTGCCTTTCATCCCACTGCCCCTGGCCCACTAGTTCCCTGCTCCTACTCTTGAGGAAGCCCTTCCACTCAAGGAGGCCTTTTCCCCCCCAGAGTCCTTTGCTCCACAGGGAGCCAGTACAGATGGGTAGGGTTGCCAGGTTCCTCGGAACGGCTGGCGGGGGATGAGAGGCAGACTTACTGGGAGCTGGGAGGAACACTGGGAATTAACACAACATACCTACGTGACCCGGAAGTGACATAAGCATGTCCAGAACATGGGGGGGGGGATGCTCTGGTTTGGGGGCAGAACTCTATGGTAGAATTAGCCTCTACCATAGAGTTTTGCCCAAAAACCAGAGTGTTGCCTCCTGATATCCCTGACATGCCTACGTCACTTCAGAGTCACATAGGCACGTCGTATTAATTTCTCGTGTTCCTTCCTTTTTTGTGTATGTGGGGGTAATCCTCCTCTTCTGGCCGGTTGGCCAGTGGCAGAGATGTGGGGGCTGGCAGCAGGAAAACCCCACCCCCACGGGGGGAGGGGGTCTGGCATCTCTACTGGTGGGCCTGCCTTCTGGCTGCTCCTCTCCTGCTGTGGCCGCCCCGCCTGGCTCTCTTCTCAGCTCTGCCCTCCTTAGAGCTGCACCCCCGCTCCACCCCTTCTCCCTCAGGTGTCGGGTACCATGGCACTGTGACACAACCTCAGACTGGGGGCCTGGTCCAGGCTTCCCTCTCCCACAACCCAAGAGATGCTGCCGGGAGACTGAAGGGGCAAAGGGGGCCGCTTCCATACTCCGGAGTCAGCACCATTCCTTTCTTGTTCCTGCAGAGCCCAAGAAGCCGAAGAAGAAGAGGTCCGTCTTCAGGAGGCTCTTCTGGTGCGGCAGCAAAAGGCAGAGGCCCTGAAAAGACCACCGTGCCTTTCTGCAGGAGTCAATGTCCCTCCTTGCCTGTCAGTCTCTATGGCATGGTGCCAGCGCAGCAAGTTGGCAGCAAATAACGGATAGGCACGCTCCTTAGCAAGCTACCAGGGGAGGGGGACAGGTAGCGAACGCGTGGGAGCCTGCAGTGGCCCAGCCACAGCCATCATGAAGCACAGAGCATCAGGATCCAGGCAGGAAGGGAGGGCAGACACCTGTTGATTCCCAGGAAGGGGTGGCCTGGGCCATGGGACTGCGGAGGGAGGGCCCCACAGTGCTCCACAGGGAACGCCCCTGCCCCACTGCAAGTTCCCTTTGCCAGGCAAGAGGAATGCAGAGCGGGACACAGCAAAGGGAAGATGCAACTAAGCCAAAAAAAAAAAAAAACTGTCCCAAAATTGTCCAGTAGCTCATTAAGAAAAGGCAGGCATGAAAAGGGAGTCATGAGTTCGAGTCCCGTGAAGGGCCAAGTTGGCTAGCAGGCAACGATCCTAGCTGTGCTTATGCCCAGCAGCAAGCCTTATTATTATTGCAGTTTGTGGTTCTTCTTATTGTCTTTATATTTATCATTGGAGTTCTTATACATGTTATTAATTATTATTGATTGCTTCTTATTCTTATGATTATTAATATTAGAGTTTCTACAGTTTATAGCAATAATTATTATAGCACTTATTATTAAAGTTCTTATCCTCAATATTTGTATTATTTGGGTTAATAAAGTTGTTCTGAAACTGTGGCTGAATCTGCATTTGTCTTTCCCACCCGTGTCCCAGCCTTTTGACTCTGTCTTCAAAAAAGCTGTCTACATTTGGTGTCGTTTTCACACCTCAACAGTGCTAGCATACTTTTGCACGTCCACATATGTTTATCGTCCTTTCAGGGCAGCTCCACCGTCATTGCACCTCCACACTGCTTTAAAAGAATCTTCTCCAAACAACATTCAAACAAGCATAGAGAAAGACGGCGTCACAGCAGCACAAAACTGATTTAAAAATGCAAATACAGATTCGACCTAAATGAGAATGGATTAGGATAATCTGTACAACCGCACAACTATTGTGAAACCAGGTTTCTTTTCTTCTGAAAGAAAAAAGGTTTTCCAGCCGTCTGCAAACACAGGTGTCCTTTGACTGCCATCCCTCACGCAAACTCACTTGCTGAGCTTCAAGAGGCAGTGCTGAACCATGGCCTAGGCATATGGGAACGGGGCACAGAGGTGGCAGCAAAGGCCAGAGGTGGCCAAAGGCAGCAACTGTTCCAGGACAGGATATCAAGGGAGGAAGGGGAGAGACAGAGAGGAAGAGGAAGGCACAGGGCTTTTTTTTGTAGAAACGCATTAGCATAATGGGCCACACCCAACAGCAGAAACTCATCAGCATATTAGGCCACACCCCTGACGGTGCAGCACATTAGCATATTAGGCCACACACCCCATGTCTTCCCTTGGGTTGCCTGGGCGCCCCACAGCTGTGGGGAGCTTGGGCAAGCCATTCCTTGGACAGGCCGGGGAAGGCACAGGGAGGCATTTAAATGCATCCCCAATCCGTCCAGCCCCCCCTGGCCCACCCGCCTCGGAGTCACCGGGGGGGGGGTCACTCTCCAGGCCTTTCCTCTGTAGCCACACACGCAGAGGTTTTGGTTGTTGTGGGCGTGGCCAACTTTGAAGCCAGCCGGAACTCCGTTCCTGTGCGTTCCTGCCCAAAAATAGCCCTGGCCAGCTGCCTGGGGAAGGCTGAGAAGGGACAGAGGAGGGAGGAAGGAAGGGGAACCCAGAGGTGGAGCCATGGCTCTGGGCAAAATAGGACAAACAGACCTCATGAGGCTTGCAGGAACTGACCCATGGTGTCGGCTGAGAGCGAATCAATTGAAAGGGAACTCTGGATATGTCAGTCATGCTTCTTGGGAAGGCAGAGGTCTGGAAGGAGGACATTGTGCTCCCCCCCCCGCGATGCGCTTCAGCTCACCCTTGTTCACTCACTTTCCTCCCAAATGTGGACACACAGTAGATTACAACCTTACCCTTTGCATTTTTGACTACACAACAGCCCTGCCTCTGGAATGAGGCTGTCCCTTCTTCAGAGCAGTCGGAATCACTTTTGGAGTGTAGGAGCAGAGATGCACAGGGACCAACGGCTCACCGTTATTAGTGAGAAAACGATATCCTACCCAAGAGGTTCCTCAGGGCCTTTTTGACGTCTTTATTCCTGAGACTGTAGATGTAGGGGTTGGACATGGGGGTGACAATCGTGTACACGAGAGCAAAAATGGTCCCTCGTTGGGAAGAATAGCTGGACGTGGGTAGGAAGTAGACCCCAGTGACAGCACCGTAGAAGAGCAGCACCATGGTAAGATGAGAGCTACACGTGGAGAAAGCTTTGCGCCTTCTTGCAGCAGAGAACTTTATCACAGCTGCCACGATGCGGACATAGGTGACGACGATGAAGGCAAAAGGCCCGAGGATGACGGGAACGCCCTCGAAGAAGATGGCCGCTTCGTTGGCGCTGGTGTCTGAGGAGGAGAGCTGGAGCAAGGGCTGGTGGTCGCAGAAGAAGTGGGACAGGTGGTTGTCCCCACAATAACTGAGGCGCAGGAGGAGGCCAGCATGCAGCATGGAGTGGAGGGTGGAAACGATCCAGCACCCAGCCACCAAACGTCCACAGACTTTCTGGCTCATCACCGTAGCATAGTGGAGCGGGTTGCAAATGGCGACATAGCGATCCAGAGCCATGACACTCACCATGAAGATGTCTGTGACACCAAACACGTAGAAGAAGAAGAACTGAGCCATGCAGGAATAGAAAGGGATTGCCTTGGAAGAGGACAAGAGGTGAACCAGCATCTGAGGCACCGTGACTGTGAGGAAGCCCATGTCCACCACAGAAAGGCTCCGCAGCAAGAAGTACATGGGGGTCTGAAGCCGGGCATCCACGGTGATCAGAAGGACCATCACGATGTTGCCCAGGAGGCCTGCCCCATACATCAGCAGAAAAGAGGCGAAGAAGAAAGGCTTTTCTTTGGGTTGTGAGGAGAACCCCAGAAGCACAAACTCCGCAACATCCGTGCCATTCTCACAGTCCATGGGACCTGCGGAGAGAATCATAGTTGGAGACCGTCAGAAGGAACCAGAAGGTCTGACAGATACAACTTTCTACCATAAAGTAGGCCCATCTTGAACTGAAAGGTTGGGAAATGTTTACATTGGGATCTTAAAGCCTAAGAGCTTTGTGCTTGAACAAATTTAGAGTCCAGTGGCACCTTTAAAACCAACAAAGGTTTATTCAAGGTATGAGCTTTCATGCGCAAAGCACACTTTTTCAAATACAGTGGGATGAGAGGTAAGGTTCAGATTTATAGGCTGAACAGCAAGTTAACATGTAACATGATGAAGATGTTTTAAGGTAAGCAAAAACAGAATTAAATAACGAGCTAAGGTTATAAGTGTTGGAAATGTATGTTTTAACAAGGTCTGACAATCCAGTCATGATAGGGTTAACTTGTTTACCTAGTATCGCTATTGTTTGGACTGACCTGGAATGGAAACCTGGCACAGAGCCAATGGGGGATTAGCCCGGGAAAAGGTGTGATACAGATTGGTTGGTTGTTTTCAGGTGACTTTCTTTCTAGGGGTCGAGAAGAAGGACAGATTCTCCATTATCTCTGTGTTAGTGTGTAACAATGGTTGAACTGTAAGCAGTAGAAAATGTAGCTCTTAGATGTTCTGTTTATTTGTAGGTTTCCTGTATACCATTTGCCCTTAGAAATAAAGGTTTTTATAAGCAAAAAAATCTCTTATTTCCGATAGAGCAAGATCCATCGATACTCAGAGTATTTTAAATACTTTTGACTATTTTACAACAATAAGGTCATTAGTTGTAAAGCAATGAACATGTCAAGGTAGAACAAACGTTGTGCTTTTTAGGCACACTTTTCATTTTCGAGGGCTTGTCAGTTGCCATAAAAAGCAAACTATTTTATACTGGCTATCAATCTAATACTGCTTTGCTCCACCCTTTTCCCCAGGGAGCTCAGGGTGGAAAACGTACTTCTCCCTTTCTCTTTTTCTCTCTCCTCAGGACAGTACTTTAAGGCAGGAGTGTCAAACATGCGGCCCGGGGGCCGGATTAGGCCCCCGGAGGGCTTCTATCAGGCCCGCAGTGGAACTGGCTGTCTTCTGCTTCTTCTTCCAGTTCTGCTGCTGCTGCGTCATCGTAGGTCTGCAGCTTACAGATATACCCCTGAACAGCATACTCAAGATTGCAACAGCACAGACATTTTGATGCAGTAATTCAGAGCAAGAGGTGTCCGTTATCAGACACTGTTAAATAAACAAAATATTTGCAAGAGTGCTAATGTTTTAAGCATGATTTTATTTTAAGTGGAAAAAACCCTTTGTGTTTGTGTCCTTTATAAAGTTTATATCTCCGCTACCTGGCATTACATTTTATGACACACATGGCCCAGGGGCCCAACAAGGTCTCATTTATGTCAGATCTGGCCCTCATAACGAATGAGTTTGACACCCCTGCTTCAAGGTATATTAGGCTGAGAGAGAGTGAGTGGCCCAAAGACCCTCAGCAAGCTACATGGCAGACAGGGGATCTGATACTAGATCCCCCAAATCTGACACGCTAACCACTAAATTCGAGTCCAGTAGCAACTTAGAGACGACGAAGAGTTTCAAGTCAGAACCTTTTGAGAGTCGAATATCCTTTTGTGCAGGGTTGCCCGGAGATTTGAGGGTGGAGCCTGGGAGTGTGGGGTTTGGGGAGGGGAGGGAACTCTGTCGGGTACAATGCCATGCAGTCCGCCTCCTGAAGCTGCCATTTTCTCCAGTAGAAGCGGAATAAATGCTTTAGGTAAATAAACAGACAATCTATGTAGCCCGGAGAGATCAGTTGTAATTCCGAGAGATCCCCAGCCCCCACCTGGAGGTTGGCGACCCTATTTGTCAGGAGTAGAGTAGAAGCGGAGATCTCTGAATCCTGTTATCCTAGTCAGAAGGTGGGAGGGGTATTGTCAAGAATGCCTGTAGAGGATTGAAGGGTGACATGACAGAGGTTTACCACGTTCTGCATGGGATAGAGAAAGAAGAACTTTTCTCCCTGTCTCGCACTACAAGAACTCGTGGGCACACCATGAAATTGATGAGCAGGAGGCTTAGAAGAGGTCAAAGGAAGCACTTCTTCACCCAAGGAGTCATTGACATGTGGAATTCACTGCTGCAGGAAGTGGTGGCCACAAGCACAGACAGCTTCAAGAGGGGACTGGATAAACATAGGGAGCAGAGATTAGCCAGAAGGTATAGATGGAACACTCTGTCTGGGGCAGGGATGCTCTGTACTCTTGGTGCTTGAGGGGGGGGCAACAGTGGGAGGGCTTCTGGAGCTCTGGCTCTGCTGGGGGACCTCCTGATGGCCCCTGGGTTTTGGCCACTGTATGACACACAGTGTTGGACTGTATGGGCCATGGGCCTGATCCAGCGTGGCTTCTCTGATGTTCTTAGGATGCATGTCATCAGCTTGTATATAATCAGTTTGATTATATATAATGCTTGGGGGTCATTTCCCCTCTGCTGCAATCAAGCTGATGACAATATGCATTGTACCTCTGCATCTTCTACAAGTATTCTTGACAACACCCCTCCTACCTTTGGGGGGGTATTTTTTTTTTTGTACTTTTCGTATGTGTGTGTGCATGTGAGTGTGTGTGCACCTGGGAGTCATGCCAACCTCTGGTGACTGGCCTCTACTGGAGGCCTGGAGGATATTCAGAGAGGTGGCTGAATAAAGCCTGCCCCCGCCTCCCAGCTCTGGCATTGTCCCACCTCTGGCATTGCATTCCTTGGAGGTCTCCCATCCAAGTACTTGCCAGAGTCGACCCTGCTTAGCTTCCGAGACCTGATGAGATCGGCCTTGCCTGGGCTCTCCAGGTCAGGGCACCCCTCCCACCTTCTGACTGGGATAAAAGGACTCCAAGATCTCCATTTCTCCTTTACCCATGTCTGGCGAAGGGAGCTTTGACTCTCAAATGTTTATCCCCTGAAACTCTGGTTCGTCTCTAAGGTGCTACTGGACTCCGATCTAATTGTTCTGCTGCAGAACACCATGTCTGCCCTCTGACGCTACTACAGCGGTTCTCAGTAATAAAGAACTTCAAAGATTAAATGTCATTGCATGTAAACCTACCTGAGGGACCGCCTTTTCCCGCATGTACCCCCAAGAGCACTTCGGTCGGGGACCCAAAACCGTCTGGTGATCCCAGGTCCCCGGGAGGTAAAACTTGCTACGACCAGGGCTAGATCCTTCTCAGTGGCGGCCCCTACCTGGTGGAACGAGCTCCCGGAGGAGATCAGGGCCCTGCGGGACCTTATGCAGTTCCGCAGGGCCTGCAAGACGGAGCTCTTCCGCCAGGCTTTCATATAGGGGTTGCCGCTGCCACCACCACCAACGGTGGCAATACCATCGGGATTCGGGATCGCCCTGGGAAACTCAGCCATACACTGCGCGGCATTAACAACGTGGGACTGGAACGATCTACTGGACAGTGGTACCCCAACAGGGCTGACTGGAAGATGCTACCATAACACTCAAGACCATCTTGTCTACTGAAAGCACTTTATTATTGTTATTACTGTTATTATTGTTACTATTGTCATTTTACTGTTTTACTGGGTTTTATGCATGGGCTTTTGCCCCCTTGTAAGCCGCCCTGAGCCCGCTTGCGGGGAGGGCGGGATAAAAATACCTAAATAAATAAATAAATACTTTCACATAGCCCTGACCTGGATAGCCCGGGCTAGCCCAGTCTTGTCAGATCTTGGAAGCTAAGCAAGGTCAGCCTTGGCTAGTATTCAAAAGGGCGACCTCCAAGGAATACCAGGGATGTGACGCAGAGGCAGGCAATGGCAAACCACCTATGAAACGTCTCTTGTCTTAAAACAAGCCTAGCTCGCCACCTAGTGGCACATAATGCTGAAAGAGCTAGAACCTTTGGCTGCCAGACAATCTTAGGATCTCCTGGCTATACCATACACACTACCATACGATAATTATTAATTATTATTACTTTCAGACAGTAAACACTACAGCAGTTGTCTGCTACCGCCTGTTGCTGCATGCAAGCAATCGAACACTAGCAAACATTTGAAAATGTTACACTTCGGCTGTGAGATTAGCCATATTTGCAGTGCCAAATATTTTAAAGTATCAGTACTGAAATCAAAGGTCATTGGATGTGGTATATGCTGATATCAAATTCTGTACATTCTGTCAGAACTTTGAAGAAAATCTTGGAGGGAAAATTCATTTCAGGTCCACAATCAATCACTTACAAGTTCCCAGAGAACACCCTACAATCCTTCTTGCCAACTCAAATGTTGAATTCCTACTTCTTTCTCCTGCTCTGTCATTTTGCATTTGACGTGATGTAACCATGTCAGGTATTTCTATGTTCCTCAGACCTGGAGGGCAGGGGCTGAGAAGTGCATGTTACGATGATAAATTAATGGCCTTATAGCCCCCTTTAGGTATGCATACTTCAAATGTATGCCACAGAATGAGCATTCAACAGGCAAGTCTCTCTCCATCAATTGCATCATCAATAATAACTCTCTTTAAACAATGGGACACTCTGGTTTTGTCCTGGTTGAAGGGGAAATCATGTTAGGCAAATCTTTTATTCTCCCTACATTTATATATTATTTTCGTACCTTGCCTATTCCAATTTCTAACTCATATTTTAAACTCTGGCAGCAAACTCTTATAGACTTTCTTTGGAACTCTAAAAAAATCCCCCAGAGTTAGTTTTCAGACTCTTAAAAGAGCACTCAGGCAAGGTAGTTTGGGATTTCCAGTCCTCCAACTATATTATGATGCAGCTCAGATAGCAAACCTGATTTTAATGCTCAACCCAAATGCTGGATTGGAAATACGTAGAACTGTCCTATACTTTCCTTAAAACACTCGCTGAGGTTATCTGGAATAGACCCAAGGAAAGGGCATCATCTGTGACTGACAACAGATTTCTAACTACCACTTTAAACCTTGGGGATTTTTGGAGACCTAAACATGCTCCATCAGT